ATGTAACACGGTCATTGTTTCTAACGCCGACAGATATTCTGCTACAAACGTTTACCTACCCCATCCAATGAATGTACTTTCTTGATATTCATTTATACCAAACTTTCTAGATGGTAAAACGATGGTAAACGGTAAACTATAACTAAGACTCCGCTGTCTGTCTGTTCGTCTGTCACCCGGCTGTATCTCACGAACCGTGATAGTTAAACAGTTGACATTTTCACAGATGATGTATTTCTGTAGTCGCTATGACAACAAATACTAAAAAACCGAATAAAAAATAATTAAGTGGGTCTCCCATACAACAGACATGATTTTTTTGCCATTTTTATAGTTAAAAACTCTTGAAGCGCGAGTCTGACTCGCACTTGTTCGGTTTTTTATTTTTATTTTAAAAAACTTTGACCTTAGGATATCTTTTGTTGTAAGGATTCTTTGCATACATATTTCACGTGGACGAACATCCAGATCCGAAAAAATTACTTGTGAATAACAAAAGTCCTGTTCTGTGTGGGTATCGAAAATCGAAACCTCGACCCTCGGCGCCGAAGCCAATACCTTAGCAACTCCGCCAAAGGAGCCATCGAAATTGACTACATATATGGCATATTGGCTACAGCTTTATTATCGTGCTAACTCAATAACGAAAATAAAGAAAAACAAATGAAAAATTTGACTTACTTTTAAGAACATGTTAAAGACAAATAAATATAAATACTCATCGTAGTAAAGTAAAGTAAAGTAACAGCCTATATATGTCCCACTGCTGGGCAAAGGCCTCCTCTGTACAAAGGGTATCAGGGCATAGTCCACCACGTGGTCCCACTGCGGATTGGCGGACTTCACATATTTTCGAAATATTTTTTTTGTTATTATTTCGAAAATATGCAGGTTTCCTCACGATGTTTTCCTTCACCGCGGAGCACGTGATAAGTCAGCACTTAAAGTTAAAAACTTCATTGGTACCGGCACCGGAGATCGAACTCAGGTTGCTCGAGTATATTGAATTAAAGGCGAGCGCCCGGACACTGAGCTATCACGGCTCTTCATCTCTACTCATCGTAATATTAGTTAACTCACCGATTGCACTGGGTACCTATAAGGTTCGTGTCTGGATGGAATGGACTGTCCTTATTTTGCTTTATTTATTGTCAACGTCAAATTAATACTTGTTTTCGCATTAACAACGCGGTCATAATTTTTTTACAGGATTAACAAGAAACTTTGCTAACAGCAAATGTATTATACAGCCTTTAAGTAGCTTACAATTCGAAATTTATCACTTTTACGTGTTAATTTATAATCAGCTACGTTAGGCCAAATTATTTTAGTAGAACGAAAAAAAGTTTTATTAATTTATGAATCTATTTAAGTTTTTAATAATACCAAAAGAAGTTTTACTAATCAATGTATCTCTTTACTATTATTATTAGTGTTTTGGTACAACTAAATACCAATTAATTAACAATTTATTGTCTCAATCAAAATAATTGCTTTTAATATTTATGATGTTGTTTTATGTATCAGGCTTAAGGACTCAGGAGCTTTTTATTATGACTTGTGTAAACTGCTAAAGTGATTAAAAGAATGATAATTACAGGTAATAAAATAAATAGTTATGTGTTATAAATATTTGTTTTGCTAACATAAAGCTTTTATCTTTGCCAGAAAATAATTTTACGTTATTCCTAAATACCTACTTTGCTTTTAAGGTTGCCATACATTGAATGTGTGAGTTTAAATTTTAAATCGTCCCTCAATCTCCTAGATATTAATTTGAATATGCGCTATGGTTATTGTGTACTTATGATTATTATAGGTACAATTGTACGACACAAGAAATCGCACATTTATGAACATTACGCAACTCTACAATGGAATCCTCCCAGACATTGGGCTGTCTTGTTGTTTCCGCAGACACGTTTCTTTGTTCGGCGGATAGACAGATGGGGGAAAAAGGGCCCACCGACGACCATCTGCCCGTTAAGATTCATCGGACAAAACGCAGGTAGCAATTCGAGAGGAGTACGATTATCGTCGACGTATCGGCGTCAGAGCCATTGTGTACGCCTCCTTTCTTCTCGGCATTCACAAAATGGAGGGGCCCTTTTACGCGCCATAAAGTAGTTCTCACATGTTTTGAATCGTTTGTATGTTGTGTATATTTTATTCGATTGCCCCACAATGTTCCCAATTCGCTATGTTTTCCTGTACGCGATTTGTTCTTGAACTTTATTGTGTGCATAATTTAATACTCAGTGTTTTATATCTGAACACGTTCTAATTGTATAACTCGTTGTTCTAAATTGTAAAATATCCTCAACTGTTTTTTTATGTGAGAAGCGTTCATGGGATGTTAAGTGATAACCGCCACACATGGACATTTGCAACCCGTAGGGTTGCATCTTTCAATAAAGCGGGCTCCGATTACCTCAATCACCAGACGAAACCTCTGGTCTTCTATGAGGTCCTGGTACTTTCCAGACGGACCTGCCCAGTCGTGCAACAGCAAAGACGTTGCGTGGCCCTACCACTATAAGATACCGTACCACTGTGATTCTAAAAGACTCGTGTGGTTTTATTACCTTTACCAATTCGTTCGTGTTTGGTTCGAAGAGCCTCTTCAATTATTATCGCGTTTGTTTCCTCTCTCACGTAATATAAATAAATAAAGCTCGCAGTAATGGTGCCTGCTGAATACAGTGACTTTTGGCATGGCTCAAGATAATAAAACATACGAGACACATTAAGCTCCGCGCTTAACGCTACCTTACTTATTTATAAATCGGAATTATTAATCAGCTTTCCGCAAACGAGTCCGCGGAGGATGAGAGTGCTCACTACTTCCTCGTTTGTTTTCAATTCGTATAAGTGCAGAAATGATTTTTTTTATTTTATATACATCAATTTGACTGTTTTACTATAGAAACAATCAAATCGATACTATTATAAGTAATGTTCCATTTTCGAGATATTTTTTAATAAAACTAACACTTTTACTTACTTTAATTATAAAGGATATTCATCATTATAAGTTTGGATGACCTGTGAGTATGCAGAAGTTCGGTGACGCAGAAGACTGAAGATATTGTTTCATCGCACTATTTCGAAGATATTTAAGCTTATCACTGGGGACGATGAATATTAAAACTTGCCGCAATATCTTTGTGGATTTATATGGCATTTGCCTCCGTCTAGCTAGTCAGAGTATATTCATAACCCACGAGCGTATCGGCAGGACATTATTGCTTTCGATTACCTCAAAGCTGGGCCGGCGCTTGGTGCAGCTGTGGGCAATATGCCAGAAGCGATTAGCCCGTCGGAGGGACTCGTAAAACAGACCGCTCCGTTCGGGCCCGATTTATACAACGCACATAAACTTCGGCTGTTAGCCCCAATAAACGGCGCTGATTAGTTTCAATCTGTTGATTGGCTCCGGCCTAATTAGCGCAACGGACAGTATAATCGACCGATCAAAAATTAGAGTGATTAAATAAATCAAACACAGAGACATGTTTCAGTGTGATACCCACTGTATGGAATAGTCTTGAAGTTGATTGCCGTTATCCGTTTGAACGGCCCAACATGCATTGATTTAACATAGTAGAAACCCGACCATCTTTGTATAGATGGATTCGTTCTAGATCTGTCAGTTTTGTATTGTATCCTCGCCTGCTAAACTAATTATAGGAGTTGAAGTGAGAGACTGCGACCTAGTTAAATATAGCTTTTGCCCTTTATTTGAAGCAATAAAGAATGGCTCGCTATGCCTTCTCTCGTATAACTTAAAAATTATGAATAATGTACGGCATTAGACAGCACACATGACTAATCACTTGCTCCAGAATGGGATCTACCTTTAAAGTAAAAATAAACGGTTAGACGCGTTTATGCGATAAGTTATGCTAAACGAAGTTCTTAGAGCAGTTGATCACTGTATTTGCAAAACATTTCATTATAACTTTATCAAGTAGATCCTTTGTTATATATGATGTGGCTTGCCTCGGCCCAAAAGGGTAATAATTCGACGAAGTTTTAATCCGCAGTGTAATCAATCTTGCTGCGAAATTTTTGGGGTCACCGCAAACCGCGGTAGAGCGGCCACAGGTCGTTAAAATTAGTGCATCGTTCCCCTCTTTCAAGAATAACGCCTGTATATTGATAACGTTATTTTAACAAAGATAAATATTATTTTAGATATAATATCCGGGTCCGTGCCTTATTTATTTCGCGTATCCAAATGTTCATTAAAACAGATGACGTATCTAACGACTTGGTAAAGAACGCATAGAACTCGACCACATAGTCTAGAAGTAAATAGAAATAGAAAAGAACTAAATAGTCGAGATATAAGGGAAAGAGCGACCAGATGGATAGAATAGGTTGTACTTTGTAATCTGTACATAAATAGGCTAGCAAAGAGGTACCTTTTTTCTGTTTATCAACCGCTTTTCTTCGTTTTTAGGGGTTATGGACAAGCATTAGCATCACGAAGCTTCCATTGCTGCGTGAATGGTTAATTTTGACCGAGAAAGCAAGAGCCCACAGAAGACTGAAGTTATTTAAAAATATTTAATCCTTTGCGTTGCCCCAGGGGAAGTTACCGGGAGCCCATATTCTTAGAGGTAATGGACCTGTTAATAAATGACTTTCCATGGGGGGGTTAAACTCTCTGCATCAATTGCGCCATTTTCTTTATACGGTGCTAGTTTACATCGCTGCAAACTAATGGTTAAACATTCTCAGATCCATCACATCCCTCTGTGAACTGAACCATACGTGAACGCCTATTGCGATCTTTTCATAGATCATTGGGATCTTAATATCAACACTAAGGCATTTTTATGAGGTTGCTAATGAACAAATATTAGAGCAGTATTATAATAAAAGGATTCTCCTCCACCTTATCTTCTAATAGTGGCAGTATAACGTTCGTGTTCCCTAATTAGGAAATATTCAAACGGGCCTTATAATAGCCCAATGCCTTATAACAAACTCACCGATACGAAGCTCGCCGCGCAATAGGCGGCGCCCAGCAAAGCAGGCGCGGATCCGGTCCAACGTCGCTCCATAGCGGCGAAGTGGGCAGCCGCCACCAGGCCAGAGAGTACCAGCTCGGCTCCCAACCGCTCCCAGGCCGGCGCCCCGCCACCTGGCAGTGACGCCGCCAAGCTGCCCACATACCCCGGCACGCTGACCCTGCCCGAAAGCCAAACTGAGAGTCAATCTATTGTTGCAAGATAGGAGGGTAGTACATTACCGACTACGCCATTCGGGTCGCCATTGTGGAAGGTTAATCGACAGACTTTGTTTCTACGAAATTAAAAATTAGTGTTCATTTTCATGTCGTTTGGCGATTCTAAACTAGGGGTCATCGAAAGGTTATTCGTTTACAATTAGATTATACAATAACTTGAACTATACGTAAATATTTAAAAAAAATCTTTTATTTTGTAAATATCTACGTTTATAGTTAAAGGTCATATTTATTCCTACGTCAGTCATTGTTTATTATTATTATCATGGTCACCGACTTGTTAGCTTTACATATTGTGTGTAGAGATACTATAGTGTACGTAAATGTTGTAGATTAGTTGGCTTATCACAAAAATGTTTTATTTGCCTGTTTATTTATCTCCATATGATAAAAGTTCAAGGACTTAACTAAAGTAAATACATGCAAAAACACATTAATATACGTAAAAGGTAGATGAGATTAGTCACAGTATAGTACGTTAATAAAAACGTCGTACTGTTTTTCTATTATTCGGGCTGAGGTAGATGTTATTGTAACTATATGAATAGATTATTTTGAAACGAAAACAAAAGGATATTATTCTGGAAAAAAGGAAAATTACTATTCAAATATCATTCTATTTAAGTAAATAACGAAATAAATAACTTGAGATCCTCGTTGTAGGCGTGGTTTTGTTTTGTTATCGCTCTCGTTTCCTTTTCGACGGCTCATAATGCGCTGACTTTACTTTTTTTCCTTTGCCGACCCTACTTTATTTGCCCTTTCCTAAAATATTTTTGTATCGCAAATGTACCTCACAATTTCGCAGTCTTTGGTTTTTTTTAAATATTGGGTGTAAGGATTTTATCTATGTGTGTACTTTTTAGTAGTACTAGCGAACCATCGATGCGTTGAAAGATGATGTATTAAATTATGGGTTCAAAATATAATATAATTACAGACGAGACTACTTTTGGTGCTCTTCGCTTTGCTGTAGCTTTGAGAAGTCTAATTTTCTACTCGAATAAAACTTGTCTGCGCAGCGCTTTCTCACGGAGCTTATTTGAAGTAACTGAAGCGTCTGTGTTTCAGATTAAATAAGTATCATAGATATGTACACTTATCACATTGCAATTGTAAAGTTTTCAAATATAGAATAAAGAAATGAAAATTTTGCTATGATAATCTAAAGTTAAATAAAAAATCATTAATTTGATTTGTACAATTAAAACAATTATTGTGATACACAAGTACTATGGATTTAAGCGAAAGCTTTTGTATAAAAGCGTGTAGGTTGTATGAGAATAGTTCGGAAGTATTTTCATTTACAAATTAAATTCGCCAATACTTATACTGAGCGTTGTATCTTCTAACAATCTACATATATTTCGTTTTTTAAATATTTAGTAGGGCATACATGTGTAGGCTATTATGTCCCACTGCTGGGCTAAGGCATCCTTGTTCCAGATTGTAGTAGTGGCCGCCACTAGCTCCACTGTGAAATGGCAGTCTTCACAACAAATTTTCACATATAAGTATAAGCACCTGGAGGTCCGAGCTTTGCTCTGTTTTTTTTGGTAAATCATGTATTTGGGAAATAAAAAAAAAAATAAAGAAAATGATCTGGTATAGAAAAAAAAGTAAAAAAAATAAGTGTGTAAATGATCGTGATACGAACCGCGGCCGTCTATTTTAGGGCCGCCCGATTACCGACCGAGCTATTATAACATTTTTTTTGCGGCGAAATTTACTGTCATATTCGAATGATATTTTTCATTCCCTGAAAACAGGGATAAAAGGACATTTTCTAAAAATGAAACCTAGCTAGATCGATTTTTCACCCCCGAATCAACGCATATACTAAATTTCATGAAAATCGCATCGAATTGCTCGTTTAAAGGTTAACATTTGTTTTTTCTCAATCACAATGGTTTTTCCCGCAAATGAGGACTTTAAACTAGCACTTAAAATTCCAATTCAATTTTCTTATTTAGGTTTCCCCAAGTAAACGACGATCAAATGCGAAGGTTTCTGAACCACAGCTTTCCAGTACATCCCGCTGTTTGTCTGTCCCTATGTATGCCTAGATCTTTAAAACTACGCAACGGATCTTGGTGTGGTTTTTTTTTTACTAGATAGAGTGATTCAAGAGGAAGGTTTATATGCATTATACATTGCACCCGGGCGAAGCCGTGGCGGGTTGCTAGTACTGTATCATAGGACAATTTGCATAATGAGTCGCCCTCCATTACTGTGTTATTCAGTTTTGCGTCGTTATTTTATCAACTAATTCCTGTCTAACGAGATGGACTCCTTATCTTAGCCGGTATACGGGTCGCGTCCCTACTTATGTATATAACGTTATTGAACTTTGTTCTTTGTAAGTAAGTGGGCTTCACTTAATCTCCTAACTAATACTGAAGTAGATGTTAGTCGTAAAGTCTGATTAACTTAAGGTTTGAGTAGCTTAAGTGCAGAGAAGAGGCTCTTCTCTGCACTTAATTATGTTTACTAGCATCGCACGTACTTGTTCGTACAGCAATCGCCCATTCTTATAAGCGTTATCAAACCCTTCGTCAAGATGAGTAGGTAAGTATCCCTTTACATCCCTTATGTCTATTCCATACATCTACGCATAGACTTTCTTTCGTTCACCAAAATGTTGCAAATTTTATGTGTATTGCTATTTCTATGACTTCCTTAACCAGCTTCTCCACTCTCTTTACACTTAACTTTTTTCTTCGTTCTTTACTCGTTCTTCCTTTTCACGTGTACAAATCACGGGAACCTTTTTCCAACATCTTTACAATATTCATTATCGGCTGCCTTTCTAATTTCACAATATCGAAGATGCCATTCATTCAGAACCCAAACATTGGGTATTGCGGTTATATACAAAAGGTATTAATAATACGTCATTTTGTTTTCAGTGTTAAGCATCACGCGTTTTAAAATTATATGATTAAATAAGCATTAAATAAGATTCTATGATTATTAACTATTAATAATAAATTGATAAACTAAAACAAATTTGCTTCCAAATGTGAAGAACGTAGTGAAGTTAATTATTAGTAGTTATTTGCTTATATGGTAGTAACATTTAAATGTCGAATTCAGTCGAGAGGTTATTCCGTATTTATTTGTTGGGCGTACGTTGTATCGTTAGTAAACGTCACAGGCCCATAAATTCAGTATCGTCGTAGGTGAATTTCGACTGAGCAGATTGGATGTATGTATTTTGTGGGTAGGTGAATACAAAATTTGCGTCGGGGAAAAGTGTTCATTAAATAAACATGCCATACGTAATCCCTTGGCACATTTACGTAAAACCGTATACGCCAAGGAATAAACTAAATAAGGGTTCTAACGTGTTGTAACAAACGCCGCTCATTTATTAACTTTTTTAAAAAATATATCAATGTGCAAAATAAGCTGAATGAATCGTAAAACATCTGGTGTAAAAAACATATTTTAAAGTAACGATCATTTGAGACCATTCTATTTTTACCAGTGGAATTTAGCCGAAAAAACCTGTGCACATGTTTCAATTTATGACCAGCTACGATTGACAGACCGCCATTTTGAGTTGCGACAAAGCGAATGCGACCATTGTGCTAGGTCCTAGGTAAGCAAGGATTTTTTTCGAATATGGATAGTTTTCCTAAGTTGAAATTTGACATACATTTAATTTTATTGGTTGTATAATTTATACTTTACACAACTTCTTCAATTATCTTTTTAAGGGGATTGAGAAATGTATTTATATATAGGTTTTTATTATAAATCTCCATCGGTTACCTTATGAATAGATATCTGAAAAAAATTCATTGGTAGATTACGAAGTAAAATAAAAGGTATGTCTAAACATCAAGTTTACTAACCCAATAGTTTACGTTTTTGTCTTAAGACACTGTCCTCTATACAACTTTATAATTTAGGTGGATGAAAGGATATCATATTGTTATGCATTGAATACGCGTCTGAAGGACGTAACAGCAAGAACAAGCAAAAAACTGAAATAAGTCACCACAAGGCATATGTATTATAGTAAAATTCAGTAATGTTTAAAATCAACCGCGGGAGTTTGAAAATAGAAAAGATTACATATGTACTGCAATTGACCGCCAAATCGCCATTTTATATTTAAAACTAAATGAGATCGGTTATAATAGCTATATAGCTTTATTATCGTACCTATCCCAGTGCGGTAAAAAGACGACAGACCATTTTCGTTCAAAAAATAGATTTCTGTTATAAAGCGGTCGGATGAGAAGATAAACAGAATTACACCAATTAAAATTCGCTACTATCCCGTAGTAATGGAGGGACAAGCCGTTCATTAAACGCTGCCCCGTCTCAAATCACTAATTGACGTCGCTCCTGGCTCAACGCCCTTGTAGTCAGCTGGCAATGGCTCGGAGTAGTTAATCGAGCTCCTCGGAGCATAAACTGCTGGATGCACACTGTGAACTGGCGTTAATAAAACAGCGAGGCTAAATAAGGCCGTAATTTCTTAGAAATTGCAAAATATTCTAACGCGATACTGTCTTCGAAATCAAATCACATCAAACCATTTAATCATCTAACTATGAAACGTACATTTCATCTATCGATAGTCATTTTATAAATCTACCACCTTTTTTAATGATGTTCTTCTAACTGAGAAGAAACGGGCGACATAAACTCCATAGGTACTCTCTTTTTTGTCATTTCGTCCTTAAAATACTAAAATATTGTACAATACATGTATTTTTTAAATATGTAGCTTGGAAGCGATCATCTCATTCGCAGGGGTTATTATCTTAAATACATTCATTATCATTATAATCACCCTTTTAAAAAAGGTTTTCTTTAATAAATTTCTAAAGCCTATTAATAGACAGGTGCATTAACTGGGATTTTTTGTAGAATGATGTACGAAGTCTATACCAAATTACTGTTTACTACCTATAGCTCCATCACACTTTTCTACAATTGGATGAGTCAATCGCTGGTCAATTAGTGTCTCAAAAGTGTAGGGAGAGGAAACATCAGCTGCCTACGTCAACGACCTCGGCAATTGTTTTTATAAGCTACAAGAGGTCAGTCTTAACGAGAATTAATAAGCTCTTTTCCGTTTTATGAATTAAGTCTTTCAAACGTTTGTGGTTCATACAGTTTCAAACATGACATTATATGTATTCGAAAACACAGCAATGAGATGAAGAAGCAGTCCATGTGATTCTATGAAAATACACTAACATCATGTATTGATTGAAAAATCTGTCAAACCTTGTCATTGATGTCACCTGAAGTTGGCGGGAAGAACCTTACCGCCATCCTAGCTGTCAAGTGTCATTGCGTTCTTGTGATTCTCTCGCGTAAGATCGTTGTCTTTTTACTCGTGAGAAAACATTTATTCAATTACTTTCTTTAGAATATCTTACCTTAATAATTATTTAAAAAAGGAGATATTAAGTGAGTTTTTCGTTTTATTGGAGACACAGCAGTGTAACTTTACGAAAATGGAAAGTGGTAACAAAGAGAACGTTGAGCATGACGGTGTTGTTGCTTCGGATTGAGAACAATTTCCGTCAACAAGCTCGGGGGAGGCAGAGAGCAGCTCCTCCTCATCCTCGGAGTTTGAGGAGGGCACAGCATCGCCCCTACCCAATAAGCGTTCTCGTGCAACGACACGTAAGTACAAGTCAAAACATGTTCGTACCGATCTGCGTGTTGATACTTTGATGACACAAGTGTCATATATATCTAATTATTTGTTATCACAATACAATAATAATATGATACCCAATAGTAGTGCTATTGCACCAGAAATAATGATTAATAATAATAAGTCAAATAGTTCATCACCTTTCATCACATTACCTTCTCAAACTGAATGTTTGTCCCTTGATTGGGGTTCTTTGAATACTGATATTGATAATAAAAAGATTATACCAGATAGTGATAGGGATAGGTTTTTAGAATTAAATAAGTTGCAGCAGTTTGAGTCTCAAGCATGGAAAGGTATTAGATACAAACAAGCCCTGCAGGGTTGCTTGGCAACACCTGGTTTCACAGGCCTCCAGATCAATGATGAACTATGTCATTTCAATAGAAGCAAAGATTATCTGGCTTCAACAGAATTACTTCTGGCAGGTCTCTCCAACAAAGTTTTAGAACAGAGACAATTATTGAGATCAGGTTTACAATCTATAATAGACTGGGCGACTAATAACCCACAGAACTTGAACTCAAATAATTTATTTGATAAGATCTCAAATATGTTTGGACCAGGGTCACAAACTCATAAGAACTCGGAAACCATTATACAAATTATATGTGGAAAGCGTTCTGAATGTATTGAGGTTAGGCGAAATCGTATCTTAAAAGAAATTTCCAATGAAAACTTAAGGAACACCTTAAAAAATGTTCCACCCAGCTCTGAATATTTATTTAGTAGGGAACCTTTACAACCTATTATACAATCTCTGGGGGGTTCCCAGGTCTGGCTGAACACTCCAACTTATTTAAAAGAAAGGAAAACTTCAGAGCGGGGAGATTACTCTTTTAAAAATCAAAAATTTAATCTTAAAAATAAGAATAGAAAATCCGATAAAAAAATTAAGCATAGTCTGAAGAAGACTCGGCCCTTTCGGCAACGTTGATCCAATGCAGAAGGATCAAATTCTAAGCCCAAAGAAATTTGACTCGAAAGAGGGATTCAGAGGATGATGCCTGAAATCTTTTTCGGAAAGATGGGCTCAGTTAGGGGCAAACCAATTTATTTTAAATTCAATAGCGAATCACCGCTTGCCATTCAGCAAGAAACCTCCTCTGAAAATCCCTTCCCAAAATATTTTAGAAGCTTTAGCTACCAAAATTTCACCAGAAATGACTCAGATGGTAAACGAGTTAAAGGGCAAAAAGATTTTAGAGAGACTATCAACTCTGAACTCGAGCTTCCTTTCAAAAATGTTTTTAGTAAAAAAAGCAGATGGTGGTTTTCGCCCAATCTTCGACCTCAGGGCTCTCAATACTCATATAACGACAAAACATTTTTACCTAATATCACAGTTAGATGTAGTGGATTTCCTGCAGGTGAACGACTGGTTAGTAAAGATCGATCTTCACCAGGCTTATTTCCATCTGAGTGTCGCGGAGACTCACAGAAGGTTTTTACGGGTTGTTTACAATGAAGAGATCCTCCAATTAACAGCCCTACCGTTTGGCCTGTCTTCTGCACCCCGGACTTTTGCGGCAGTTTTGAACTGGGTGGCCGAAATGCTTCGGCAGCGAGGCATACGCCTTTTAGTATATCTGGACGACTACCTCCTGGCTTGTCAGGACAGATCCAAGCTAATGACACAGGATGCGGAAACACTGGTCTTCTTGGAATACTTAGGTTGGCACGTAAATTACGAGAAGTCCCTAACAAAGCCCACACATAAGCTAGAATACTTGGGCCTGACCTGGGACACTCAGAACCAGACAATAGCCTTACCCACCAGAAAAGTTCTTGGCATAAAAAATTATGTAACAAAAATGTTAGACCAAGACAGTTGCTCATTAAAAGAACTGCAGAGCTTACTGGACATGCTGAATTTCGCCAACCAGGCGGTCCCTCGAGGACGGCTTCACTGTCGCAGAGCACAGCTCTTCCTGAGAAGATTTACTCGGAGAGGACAGAGGAGACAATTATGCCCCAGAATGCGAAAGGACCTGCGGTGGTGGTTGGATGCAGTGGAGGGCAGTCCAACCCCACTACACAAAAGGGTAATAACCCATTTCTTAACCACAGACGCAGCGGATGCGGGCTGGGGAGCATGCCTGAACAGTCATTACCTCTCAGGCAAATGGGCTGCAACCCAAAAAGCATAGCACTCCAACATGAAGGAGATGTATGCAGTCTTTGCTGTAATCAAGTCCCAGGGTGCAAGGTTACGGAATGCCCACATTCTCTTACAGTCGGGTAATCGGACAATAGTGTCATACATTCGAAACCAGGGTGGAACTCGTTCATTGAACCTACTGGGCCTAACACACAGGTTACTGGAATTAACTTGTCAATTCAACATAACAATGACAGCATACCATTTACCGGGAAACCTAAACGGCATCGCAGATTGCCTATCAAGGGGAAGACCGGTGCCCGAGTGGCATTTGCTTCCACCTGCCACGGAGGCAATATTCAGAAGATGGGGAACTCCCGAGATCGATCTCTTCGCAACAAAAGAGACTGCTGTTGTCACAAAGTACGTGACACTGGACTTAAGAGATGGCTCGGCGCTTTTCTACGACGCTTTCAGTCGAAGATGGAAATTCCGAGTAGCATGGGTATTCCCACCTCCGAGTATGATACCCAGAGTCTTAGCACATCTAAACAATGCAGTAGGGACATATTACGTGATTGCGCCACAGTGGACCCAATGTTTCTGGTTCCCAGATCTTCAGGCACGTGCTCTAGCACCCCCGCTGCCAATAGAGAACCTGATAGAGGTACTTGTGGACCGAACAACGGGGTTGAGCCCTCCTCAAGTGGAGAAACTCGCGCTTCATGCTTGGAAAGTTGGGGGTGGGAAGACCAAGTAACAAACTGGAGTACAGATGAACTACAGCTATTGAGAAGTAGCTGGCGCACGTCTACCCTGACCACTTACAGTGCCCCAATAAAGAGGTGGTTGCACTGGTGTTAGTCACAAAATCTAAACAGTAAAAGTCCGGAGGGTAAAGATGTAGCAAGGTTTTTAGCAAATTTGTATTTAAAGAATAATTTTGCCTATAACACCATTCTCTTACATAAATCTGCTGTTTCAACATACTGTGCAGCAACAATAGAAAACCTTTCAAATTTTTTTTTTCATACAACAGGTGTTAAAAGCTATCTCACTTTCTAGACCATGTATAGCTAGACCCCCTATATGGGATGTAAACACTTTATTTACCTGTATATATTTTATAAGTAGACGAACTGCCTTAATTCTCTTATTAGCTTCTGGTCGAAGGTTACATGACCTTACTCTCTTGGAAGTCTGTGGGCAGGGATATACAGAAACAGAGGACACCGTGACATTTTGGCCAAGATTTGGCTCAAAAACAGACTCAGGTTCGCACAGACAATCAGGCTGGCTTCTTATAAGACATGAAGATCCTCAGATTTGTCCTGTCACTCATGTGAAGGAATTAATTAAGAGGTCAGAAGCCAGACGTGATCAAGAAAACCAAGTAAGTTCTCTTTTTATTTCAATCACAGGAGTGGTCAGACCGGCATCTAAAACAATGATTGCAGGCTGGGTACGTTCAATATTTAAACTTGCCAAGATTGATGCCTCGCCAGGAAGTATAAGATCAGCTGTAGCTTCTAGGGATGGCTAGACAATAGACCAGTTCAGGAAATACTAGAAAGGGGAAATTGGAAATGTGTAGAAACATTCTCAAGGTACTACTGTAAGGAAGTAAAAAGATCAATCAATAGGGAAGTGGAAAGTACCTCTCTATACAACAATTTTAAAACTGTCTGATTACATTTAATTATAATTAAGATTTGATATGATCTCAGTGCTTTAATTAAAAATAATTAATTAAAATAATGAGAAAGCAGTGATTATATTGTGCTCTGTGACTTAGTTCTATTTATATTGTAAATTAGGATACAAGTTTATCTTGTTGATTGTTATTTGTTGTAGCATTATGAATGCAGCATTTCTTAAAATTTAAAGAAAAGATTTAGTTTTCAGTTTTGCTTTTTGTTTCCAAAATAATAATTCAATAGATTAATATCCATACAGTGCAATTTTATTGTTAAAATTAAATTTGTTAATTTGTACTTTATAAATTGGAAATAAATAATTAAACTCATATTAAAAAGGGGTTTAATTGTAATTTTTATTCACATTGCATTCTTGTGTTTTGTAATTTCTGATCACCAGCAGATATCAAACAGGTCTTCATCTCATTGCTGTGTTTTCGAATACATATAATATTACTGTTTTGCATTAAGACAAAACAGGTATTATATGTTGGAGAAAACACAGCAATGAAACAAGGAGCTTGCTGATGATGAAGACTACAATGACACTTGACAGCTAGGATGGCGGTAAGGTTCTTCCCGCCAACTTCAGGTGACATCAATGACAAGGTTTGACAGATTTTTCAATCAATACATAGTGATGTTAGTGTATTTTCATAGAATCACATGGACTGCTTCTTCATCTCATTGCTGTGTTTTCTCCAACATATAATACCTGTTTTGTCTTAATGCAAAACAGTAATATTTTGTTCAAAAATCGCTGTTGCTTATTTCAACACCTTAATTGCTCTTTATCATATAATTTAAAATTATAGTTAAACATTAAAATTGTAGAATTTACTAGACTTCGTTTTAACCAAGGCTTTAATGATAAAAAGTATTTTAATATAACCCCATATTTATATATTACGAAAATTTATTTAAGTGTCAAAGATTTTCTGTGACCATATAAGTACTTTGTTAGTAATACATAAATAAGGCTTTAAAGATAAAAAGTATTTTAATATAACCCCATATTTAGATATTACGAAAATTTATTTAAGTGTCAAAGATTTTCTGTGACCATATAAGGACTTTGTTCGTAATACATAAATAATGAGTTAATGTCGAACACAGCTTCGGAGGCAGACAACTCAAACTCTCGAGTCGAACAAAACTAAGGCACTGTCCTACTATTCATTTCATAAATGACATCGTTATAAAGTTGTTTTATGTACTTACACTCTCTCTCATCGCAAGTTACGTTATCGAGCGAGAACACAACGGGTCGGAAATATTTGAATGTCATCGTGTAAGTATGAGTCAGGGATACCAACTTATCGGAGCTCTATTTTGTTATTTTTCCCGGGAAACGCAACCAAACTGTTTGAAGTTGTGACAAAATTGGACAACAGGCTTGAAATTAAACCATCGAATTAGCATATTGATTGTGAATATTGTGTGTTGAACATAGTGTTTTTAGTGTCTCGGTGTTTATAGAATCATAGTAAATACTTTATTACAAAAAGAAAAATATGTATATATCAATAACCTAGTACATAATACAGCTTGTCTTGCTTAGTTTGAGACTTGATGACGTTGTATAAAAATAAGCCCTGAAACATTTTCATTTCTATTCAAAAATTATGTATTGCGAAATTGTACTACGATTGTCGATTCTCTACTCGATTGTAAGTAGTTCTACTAAGAAAATAGTAAATAGATTTTAGTTCAACCCATGAAGCGCGGAGATTATTTGTGCGATACTTGCGGTATATTTATAACTAACGGTCAATAAGTTTTGCTGTGATTGGGTATAGACAACTTGGGCGTCGAACAACTTCATGACACCATTTCAAAACCGTTTCAATTTTAAAAAGGTACAAAAATGTGGATGTGGAAGGCAAGTGGAAAATGGGAGTTTAGAAATGTTTGCTGGCAGCACTGATCCAGCTGTCAGCAATACACAATACTGTACAACAATACTGTTCGTCTGGCATCAGAAGAGGGCTCAATACTTGTTAAATGGAGCGAACAATTCCCCCTCTACCCCGCCCTGATAGACTTGAGACCTATTTTGTTTTTTTTTATACTCGTGGCTAATGAAACGCTAAATCGCCAATACGGGTTTCTGTCAGAATTTTTGTACTCCCTTTTCGAAACAATTTTTATCAAGCGATTAAATTACTATTTTAAGAGCCGTGATAGCCCAGTGTCCGGATGCTCGCCTTTAATTCAATATACTCGAGCAACCTGAGTTCGATCCTCGGTGCCGGCAACAATGAAGTTTATAATTTTAAGTGCTGACTTTTCACGTGCTCCTCGGTGAAGGAAAACATCGTGAGGAAACATGCATATTTTCGAAATAATAACAAAAAAATAATTCGAAGATATGTGAAGTCCGCCAATCCGCAGTGGGGCCGAGTGGTGGACTACGCCCTTATACCCTCTGTATAGAGGAGGCCTTTGCCCAGCAGTGGGACATGTATAGGCTGTTACTTTACTTTACTTTACCTTCCCATTTTTGATTATTATTATAGTTTTATATATCGTATTACATTTTTATTTGTATAAAATATAAATTTGGACGGGACTTTCATTTGCAGATAGCTGATGTAATAAATAGTAACTTAGGCTTAGCGATACTAATTATTAAATCTATATTTTTTTAATACTACTGTTTCATTTTATTACTATCAATCATACTTAACATTACATAACCAATGTCTGTTAGAAAAAACATACGCAAGTACAACTTACGTAAATTTGAACCAGAACTAAATAAATGAAGACTGGATCAGATAAGTTTTCAATTTACGTTAACGCTCGCTAGGGCCGTGTTTCACGGAATACATATGTATAAAGCGGGTCGTTAATACGAGACGGGGCCTCGGCGGGGTCGACGGTTTCATTAGAAAGATAGTTAGGGATTTCATCTCGTTATTGTTCGTTAAAAAGGCAGATGCGGGTCACTTGCGAGCGACGTGCGAGTCGACACTCGAGTTCAATTAAATCGCAAACGCCGCCATTACGGGACCATTAACGATTCCTTTGTTGGGGAATCTCCCCGCAACGATAAAATCGACTTTGTCATTTACGCTCATGTGCAATTTGAATGTTTAACCAGTTCAGTCAGTTCGCTTTAGTTGTGGGTTAACTGGTGCACGAAAATGCAAAGAAGTGTCTTCGGAAAATACAAAGCGGTCGGATAGCGTCTGGTGTTCAACGATTCTATTGGTTACTTACAAAACTGTACATTTTCCGTTTTGTTTATTATATTTGTAGATATTTGTAGTATTTATTTAAAAAAAAAATATTCGGTCAGCCCGCAAAGATACATTGATATAAAATGAGAAGATTTTTTGTATAAACTTCTTTGTGAAATTTGTTTGCTATGTGTTAAAAAGGTGGCTCGGTTGGCAGAGTTCGTAAACTTGTTTTTGTTTCGTCTACTTGTATTTTATCTTTCGGTTTGTGAATATCAGACGGAAATATTGGTAAACAAATAGAGTACATATTTTTTGTTATGTTTTTTAAAAACATTGCCCTTACTTTAGGATTACATTATCCTGTGCTGTAAGGACGTTTTGCAAAAATAAATTTCACGTAGACAAACATCCAAATGCGAAACAACTATCTGTGGGTCACACAAATAATTTTCCCGTGTGGGAATCGAACTGTCATCTACATTCTACACATTTATAGTTAAGGATTTTGAATTGTTCAAGATTTTAACATTTGAACTGTATTTCATTTCTATTCATCATGTGACAATGAAAAGCTTTTTATGTAATAAGGCCGCTGTTAAATCTACTGGAGGAGGAGTTAACTGCTTTGAAAGGTTGGTAACACATCTGCAACCTCACTGGTGTTGCAGATGTCCATGGGTGGCGGTAGGCGGTATAATCAGGTGAACCGCCTTAATGATGGTCAACAATTCACATAAAGAAAATGCGAGATAATAGAAAACTGGCGAATGGGAAAACTTTTATAAATAAAACTATATTTTCGAATGAAATAGCAAAAATTGTAAAACGGAATCGGACAGAATCGGGGCGTCGTTAACGAGCATTCATTTGCAAAAAAACTTAACTAGTCCGATCAGTAAAACGTACGTTTACTCAAACATTTGAACCGTAGAGCGATTGAAGCTGTTGACAGTTGACTGACTTTGGATTGATGATTTCGATTTTTCGGATAGCGCCGGGATCAGTGTCAAAATCAACATCGATGTGATTTTTGAAATGTTTCGTTTTTTAGTTGTACATATTAGCTTCGAGATGTACGGGGTTAGAAACAATTATGGAATGGTCAATGAATGTTTAGAATACCTGCTTGCTGCCGTCAACCTTGATGTTTTTTGGAAAAAAGTTTTGCCATAATAATTAGCACTCGAACACTGATTTTATTTTCATTATTATAATAGATTCAACATGTGTCATCTTCCATCATTATCATTTGAAATGTTGACCACAGAACGCTCCCACATTGCGAAGCGCGATCCTGAGCCACCTGCATCCCTCGACTCCTCGCACATATGCATAGGTCGTGACTAGCTAGTGGAGGGTCGTCCCACATTACGATGGCCAGTATGAGGCTGCTACTCGAGAAACTTTTTTCCGCTAGCAACACACATTAATCGAAGACTTTAGTCTTCCAATGTTGAGGGATATGGTATGGAATCATAAAAATATATTGCTTTTTATGCCACTAACGTAACTTACCGGGTATGGAAATACAGAATTTAAATAACAGACACTAAGCAAGAGATGTGAACGGGTAAACCCATGCAAAAGCTTCTACTTTTGAAATTGGGTTGAAATTGCGTTCCTAACCTTAGATAAAAAATACCGGCTACCACAGT